TAGCGTTAATATAGACAGAAATTGACAAAACAAAATGGTGATTGAAAACAAAACTTCGGCACTGGTGCGCACCGATGCGAGATTTTTATATTCTTTCTGGGCACCGATGCGCATCGGTGCCCAGAAAAAAAATTACTCAGCACCAGTGCGCACCCGTGCACAACCAGTGCCGATAAAATATTTTTTTCTAGGGTATTTATTATCAACGCCAGAACTGCTTAAACTTATTCATTCTAATCAAAAATATACAGTCCAAAAACAACGTGTCAATTAAAACCGAGATTTACATTTCTGTTTGTTGTTCTCTTGTGTTGTGTTTTATTGAGTAAAACTAAGAAGTGCCAGAGAAAACATTTCTTTGACTCTCTGCGCATGAAAAAGGATGAAGTTAGACAATGAAAATGCGTTTTCATTTTTTTTTCCCGCAATTTTCCGCATTTTGAAACTTTTATTTCGCATTTTTGGCTTGAGCATTTGACAACTCTGAACGCAACGTATTTTTTTTTTTTGTTTACTTGCTATATTTTCTTGTATTTCAATTGGACTAAATTATTCGAATGGTGGCGAATTATGGTTCAAAATAAGGTGCGACATCTTATACATGAATCCTGATTGGCCATAGTCAATTTGAATAGCACAGAAAGGAAGAACGCGGTCCCAATAAAACATGGATCAAGTGTAAAATTCAACAGATGATCTGTCGGTCGAACGACCATACCTGGAAATTTTGACCGCACATGACGCATAATAACACCATACGTCATTTCTTAGAATTTTACACTTCAAGTGTAATAGAATACAAAGTATGATTTTTTTACATTAAAACACACATACATGAAGTGCGGCATCCGTACTGTGCTTCAACTGTGAAAAAGACGGCATTACAACAGCTATTTTGAATCATCTATAATATAAGCCAACGTTTTCCTGTGACTTCATTTGTAAGGAATACATCTGTGACTTTTGTCTTCTAAACCAGCCGTATACTAACTATTGCAAGTTTTCATTTATTCGCTTTTCCTTATAAAGGCTTTTCAATGTAAAATTACCCTTGGTAGTGGGAATATTCTAAGTTAAGGTGTTAAAGCTTCACGCTTCAAGTGTAGAAATTGCACTACTTAGTAGACTGGTTCTGCACTTTAGACTAACGACGTAAGACTATTTTATTCACGAAAAGTGAGAGTCATCAAAGGTCAGTGACGTGTAATAACAATGACTCAAGCTAAACAACACAAAAAGAGTAATAAACAAGACAACTAAGGTTAGAACCAGACATAGTAAAAAAGAACAAATTTTTGAAAAAATAAGAAAAATAAATAAGCTAAAAAGAACAAATATAAAATTCTTAGCTGACAAACGTTTCACTGGAAGATATACTGTAGTAAAGCTGTTTTGAAAGACATTAAAGAAGAAAACGAAAACTGACTCTGAGAGATTATTCCGGTCAACAATAGTTGAATAAAAAAAAGAAGAATGTACGTTTTGTGGAGAAAAAGCATCAACAGAAGATGGAATGCGAACATATTTAGAGTGCTGAAGACGTAAAGATGAGTAGTGAGGACGATAAATAGTGTAAAAAAAGAGAAACAGGACTTAGACGATGATAAAAATTTTGAAAAACTGTAGAAGTCTGAAGTATTTACGATGAAGAGAGAGATTTGGAAGAGAAAGTTGAGATATAAGTAGAGAACTAGAAGAACGATAGTCAAAATTGCGAGAAATAACACGAGAAGCAAGTTTGTTTACAGAATCAAGAAAAGAGGAAAACGAATTATCATACAAGGCACAGCAATAGTCAATTTTAGGAAGGATAGAAGAAAGATAGATGTTTATTACGTTTCATCGGTAATTTTTTTACATTTGAAATGTAAAACTCTTTTATAGTGAAAGGAAGACTAATCTATTCATATCGGTAATAATTATAAGCTGAAGAAAGTGGACAACTATAAGTGTAAATAATGAAATAAATACATTTATTAAAAGTCAAACGTATTATTGTTAACTGTGCTGTGATAAGAATGAAAAGATTACGACTAAAATGTTAAACTGTGCTGTGATGTCACAGAGTAGACTATTATAGTAAATTAACTGTATCTTTAAAAAACAATGAAAATTCGATTTTTATTTCTCATTCACTTACCTATTGTTAATCTAAATTCATCTATCTAGATAATAGAGTGAGTGCACGGAGATAATGAACTACATACATGTATTTAAGACGCTTGTCTATATGTCAGAACGATAATAATTATGTCTTTTTCAATTTTTACTTGTTCCTTCAGAAAACGATTCTTTTGATCGTTTATGATTTACAATGATGCGTCATGTTTTCGGTTTACACATACAACTTTAATATTTGTTTTATGACGCTTTTTCTGTTTTCAATAATTTACTTTTTTATCTGTATCGTGGTCACATTTTACATGATGTAAATATCGTACACGTAATTCGAATACTTAAATTATTTATCAACAAAAAATAATAGACTAAAGAGAGATTTTATGTTTTCATTTGTTAAAGTAATACAATCTATGTTTCACTCTTATGATTTCCAAACTAAACAAAAAGCGTATTAAATTAAAATTTAAAACACTTTACTTTCTATGATAGGAAAATAAAGCTGAGTTTTAAAAGTTAACTTTCGTGACGCTATTCTTCTATTTCTATTTTCTATTTAAGAAAGTTAATTTCAATTATTTTTACAGTTATTTTGTTATTTATTCAAATTATATTTTGTCGAAGTTCACACGATTATCAATTATCTGAAATTGTACGTAAAGGTCATCCAGCCGATAGATCATAAGTCGTTTTTTTCGACCTTTTAATTCGTCACAACACTATGACAAACATTTTTTTTGAAATTAAGATTACTCTTACCATCGATGTGTCAGTGAGATAATTCAATAATAAAAAATTCATTTGTCAATCATACTGACATAGTCACGATTTCAACATCGGAGAAACTTGAAATCAAAATAAAGCAAATTGTTATTGTGAAAATATAATTGTTTACACGTGAGAAATGGTGTCTCAAGAAACTTTCTTTATTTATGTCTCAAAATATGTTAGTAATGATTAAAACTAATACGAGTTTTTAGAGAATTGAATGCTGTTTTAGAAAATTTGTTTTAGGAAAAGAACAAAGTTCGTTCTTAATCTAAAAACTATTAATTAGATCTAATTAACTGTTTTTCTGAAACTAATGAGAAAAGTTGTGAATTTCTGCTTAAAAGGTAGATCAAAATATAATTTATCATATTTTATTCGAAAGAGCGACAAAAACACTTCTAGTTTCTATAAATACATAATTTCAAACGTGTTCTGTTATGAAGAAAACAAAATGTTTGATGAGAAAGATGTTCGAAGAGAGCGAAAATTACAAGAGCTTTTTTGGTGACATTTAGCATTCAAATGTTTTTCTTATTCAAACTCAATCACAGAAATTAAAACAAATTTTGTTTTATATGTTTTCTTTTGAGGATTAAATTTCAGTCTTTCCAACATAAAAATAATTAACTTTCCAGCATATCGGTGACACATGTAGAAATAATGTTCGACATTTATAGAGGAACTGTTTCATCACCTGTTATCGTACTATCTTATTGTTTGATAGTATTTAAAAATGCTCGATTTCTTGTCCATGTCTTATAATCAACGTTATTTTGTTGTAAACTAAGACATCTATCTGAAGATTCAATTTTCATTCAATACCGAAACTGATATTTCGGTACCAATACATGTCTAGACGTGAATTTTCTAGTGTTTGAGGCTAATGATCACCCAGACCTTTGAGCAATGCTGAAATTCACTGAAAAACATGTTTTAAAACAAAAATTTTCATTTATCCATCCTTCTTCTTCGCATCTAGTAGTTACCTCAATAATACGTGGGTACATAGCAGTGTGTTCAGTTCTGACTTTCTCTCCCCTCAAGTTGACCATCTTTTCTATATGATACTTCTCTTCTAATGTTATCATCTTTACAGTTAGAAGAAGTAGCACGCATACATAAGGATCTGAGACATGTCCAAGGTCATTGGCAAGGTAAACCATTCAATAGTGACGTTGATGCACCCGAGGGTAAAAAAAGAACTATTAATGAAAAAATTGCAAGAATATCTTGAACAAGAAGGGCACATCAACCGATAATATACTAAATTGTATGAGTAAACCAGATAAAGAGTTCGATTCCTCAGATGATATAATCCCTCATGAGTTGAAGGGAGATTCCTACAAATATCAAGATGTTGCAAACATTTGATATATAAATGGCGAGAAATGCATGATTACGTTTATTTTTTAATTAGAGACAACAAAGTAACACGTTCAGCATGGTATCATGTCTACGAATAATGAATAGAAATCAATCCAAACGTTTTTCTATTTCTTTACATTATTTTTTATGCCCTAATGCTCTTGATAATGATATAATGACTATTTCCTACACAGATAGTTGAAAAACTTTATATTTTCTCACCTCTTCTTCTAAATTATGCTACTCTTCTATGTTTTTCGTTTATAAATCAATGTTAATTTTATTTTCTTTCTTTTAACATAGGTGCAATTTTTCTTTTTGGCAAAATAAGATACAATCTATTTGTATTTTCACTCTTTCTCACCTCAATTAGCGATGATTCTTTGTTTGACGAAAGATTTCGTTTTCACATTTATGTTGATTCTAAAGAATTTGTCACGTTTTTAAAATAAAGTCTTCTAAGTTGACCTTTTCTGAACTATCGACGGAAAATTTATTTTGAGCAAATTAGACAAAAGTATAATGTTAACAGATATCAAAACGATTGTTGTGTGTTCTACAGCATATGTGTTAGATTCTAGCCAAAATAGGAAATTTGGATGAGCAAATAAAGTATTGCATTTTTTTATTTACACTCATTGGAAAACCATCATATTGTACATCGCTGTAATAATAAAATATAAAATATTTTAAAAGGTATGACTGACACCATATAATTTATACTTAAATCAAACATTAAAAAGTAATCATATTGGTTGATTATAAACCATTCGAATAAATGAATAGACAACAGCAGTTAAGATAAATACAAATAATATGCCAAAAAATATATAAAAGTTTCTTAAATTTGAACGGGATTTTGATGATTCAGTTTCTTGAAAACTTGGACGTCGACCGCCACTAATCGATGAGCGACGAGATTCTGTTTGATAATCACATGGTGGTTGAAGTAATGTTTTTTGACGAATGCTATTACTCCGTCTGAAAAGATAAATAGTCATTAAAGTCAATTTGTATTATGATACAAAAACTGAACTGCTAGATGGGTAATAATGAGACACTGCAAAAGTCTGATTTTGAGAAAGTGTACAAAAATTTTCTCAAAGTAAACATAGGAAATTTAATTTTCTTAAATTGCTTTTCAGTGCTCAAAAACAGAAGATTTTTGTCGAATATGTTCAACTCTGAAGATGGAGGACTCTGCGATATTTACGATCTTGATCTGATATACCTAGAGTATTGTATATATTTTATTAAACTCGATGTAATCAAGAGAAAAAGAATGAGAAACTATTACTTATATCGTTTTGAGGAATGACGTCTTTTTTCGATGAAACTCATTGTGGATTATAGAGAAAAGACTTGTCAAACAAACAAACAAAAAATATGACGATTATGCATAGGATATTTTTTTTTGTCTATCTTCTGCTTATTTCCTTATATTATAGCAATATTAAAAAAAAAAAGGAAAAATAATATATCGATGATAGTTAACACGAAAATCAAGTCTACAAACTGTTTCTTACGTAGAACAAACAAACAAATGAAAGAACGTTAATATCGTTATGTGGATACTTAATTTCTTCTTTTATATCAGCACTTAGCTAATTTATATATCTTTATTTCTTTTAGCATTCGGTGAATGACAATCATTAGAGAAAATAGCTCTAGCGTAGAAATTAGATGGATAATTTTGTTTTATTTTCATTGTTCTACATTTCAACCGATTGTCGACGGAGTATTCAGATTCTTATCGTCGTATAAATTAACTTGTTATTAATATTTTTTTCTCAGATTAATATAGCTTTGACTTACAAATAAAAATTTTGTACATACTGTCTTAAGGACAATACTAGTGTAGATAATATTTCTATTGTTGTTGTTAGCGTTTCAGTTTCATTCCTGAATAGAATAAAGTATTTTGGGATACAAGATGTTTTTTTGATATCTTCATCGTATTTTTGCAAGTTCTCAACCGTTTTTAATCAGAAAAACTTGCTATCGAACATGATGATAGATCAAACATCTTTCTACATCCTAATGCAAAATCTTGTCAGATAGTTTTCAACTCAGATCCAAAGTGTGGAGAGTCTCCATTCGAATGTCTCTTTTCACCCCAAACAAGATAAAGATAAGACATTCGAGCCATTTATTCACGGCAAAAAGCGACAATCCATTGAAATTCACGGTGTTCTCAGAGACTAAACTCTGCCGTCTCTCAGAGCCGATTATAACACTACACTAAGTAACAAAGTTGTTTAGGATGCTGAACTTTATGAGATATGTGAAAATTGCCAGGAACTAACTAGATAACTACTATTCCACATCATAGACTTTTTCTTGACCTTTTATTAGGTTGAGGAAAAAGTTCGTGCGCCGTGTTAAAATAATGATTTTCTGTATATTTTTTTTTGTGTTTTTTTTTTTGTTTTTTTGGTTTTTTTTTTATTTTATTTTTTTTTTTTTTTTGTTTGTTTGG